GGATTGGGTCAATCAAGTGGGAAAAATTGTTATACGCTCCAATAACTAACTTCCTAATTCAATTGATTAATTTAGTAAGAGTGACTACATTGCATCACCTTAGATGCTCCGTTCATGCTAAAGCACGATTGGCTTGGAGGATTTTGTGAAAGTTTCCGACCAGCACTGGCAGAGTTCTTCCGTATTGTCAAATCCCTCATCATGCTGACGGGCGTTTTGTTAGTAGAGTCGCGGAACACTTGAGACATGTTGTTGTACTGGAAATTGAAGCATTAGATGCACTGGTTATTGAATGGGCATTAAAGTGCCGCATGGAAGATCACATTTGCTTAGATCAGAGAGATAGAGAGAAACTTATATCATGTGCGCGGACGCCTTGCAAAAAATCGAGAAAGTTAACAAAGGAACAAATAATGCAGGCAAATGGATATGTTCGAACAATTCTACAAAGTCAAAGTGATGTAGCATGGATGTAGTGGAAATTATGGCTGACTAACAGGACTAAAAACAAGGCAGAGTTGTTGACAGCTTTAATTGTAAAAAGAAATTGATTTGAGTAAAAAGGCCGTATGTGTCACCTAAGACATTAATTAATTTCTACAAAACTCATAACTTCCACTTTTGAACTCACTCCCCCATTAATAGAATTGAAAAATACATAAGTATTAGCTTTTACAATGAAGAAGTCTCACTAATGCTCCATCAAAGAAAAAAGAGAAGATTTAGTATCCAAAAAAAGCAGAAATTCTGAAAGAGGAGAAATGGTCCGCGTCATACATTTGAAATTACCGCCTAGTACGCCTAGTCGCGCGAAAACGCGTATTCGAACTTTCCATCGTCGTGTCTTTGTTGTTCGAGCTTGAGATTCGTTTCTTTTGCTTCTACTTTTTTTTCTTCTTCTTCTTCTTTCTGAATTCTTTGTTTATCGATTGGGAATCGATTAGTTTAGACTTTGTGATTCAAATACTTATTGATTTGTTATAGGGGGCTATTTTTGTTTGTGGCATTGCATTGACGCTTTTAGGTTCTTGCAGAAGGTATCGCTCTTGCAAGATTCTTCAAAATGTATATTAAACGACTTGAACTTGAGGGATTTAAATCGTACTCAAAACTACAAGTTATTGATGGCTTTGACACTCAGTTCAACGCCATAACTGGTTAGTTTGTTTTCGTTTTTAAATATTCTTTGATTTTAATGCTTTTGTTTATTTACAAGCTGAAGCGCATGAGTTTTCCCAGAGTCAGTTGTTACTAAGAGATTTTTAAAAGAATTGAGTTTATGAAAAGTTTTGAGAATGTGCAGAGCCCTTCCACATATATGTCTATTCATTAAGATTGTGATGGGATTAGTTTTTTGTTCTAAATTTCATTTCACTGTGCATCGAAATAAAAACTTCCTCAAATGAAGTTCTTGTTAATCATTTACTTTGTTACTTCTTGCATTATCATGATTAAAGCTTTTTTTGGCCAAAGATACAAATTTGTTGTTTTAGGTTTAAATGGAACAGGAAAATCAAACATACTGGATTCCATCTGCTTTGTGTTAGGAATTACAAATTTGACACATATCAGAGCAGGTGTTTTTTGCCTATTTTTTAAAAACCAAATTCACTGGCCTATGAAGGTTTTGCCTTTTAAGGACAACTCCAAGATCTCGTGTACAAACAAGGACAAGCTGGTATCAACAAAGCAACGGTTACTATCACTTTTGATAATAAGGACAAAAAGCACGGTCCAATAGGATATCATCATTGTGATGAAATAACGATAAAACGGCAGGTAAAACTCGTTACCAATCTTTCAAATCTTACCTTTTTACTTGTTCAGATTCAAAATGATCCAATCTAAAGTAACATCTAAGGGATATATGTATGATGTGGCCATCAAGACGAGCTTTATAGAACTACAAGCAAATTGAAACGCTGATCTAACCATTAATTGACGAAACATCTCTCTGATGAGAAGGAATTGTTTAGAACTTTTCTGTGACATGTACCACTTGTGGTTGGAGCTCGACTCTCTTTAGAATCGACGAAACATAAGCTCATGTGGGACTAGAACTGTACATCAATTTGGGGACTTTTGCATCGCTTGCAGCTTTCAGGCATTTAAGCAAGTCACGTGAGCTAGCTTTTGCTGAAATCTACATTTTTTTCAAAAAGGTTTCGGAAATATGGGTTAGAGATTTGAATGGCCCTTCAAACTTCATATGGAAAAGTACTTACTTTGAAGAGAACAGCGACCTGGCACATTCCCTTGTCGAATGTGCAAAATTTTAATTTCAAAACTGAAGATTCAAGTTCAAACCCTATTGGTACACAGATCAGTCATGTAATTTTTGAATTTGCCTTATCTAGCCTAGTTGACCTATCACCTTCTGTACCTGATTTACTGAAGTTTTAGATTATTGTCAATGGTCGTAATTCCTACACCATCAATGGCAGCGCCGCCACGAACTCCAAGGTATTAACAACTTTGCTCTTCGCTTTTATTCCTTCATTCAATGTTAAGCAAGTCCCTTTCAAGGTGTCGGATTTCTTCCGAAGTGTTGGCCTTAACGTCAACAACCCCCATTTTCTCATTATGCAAGGGCGTATCACGAAAGTGCTGAACATGAAACCTCATGAGGTTTGCTTCTGCTCCTGACTTGAACTTTGAAATTTGATGATGGTATTGAAGTTGTTTGTCCATGTCCAGATTCTTGGGATGATAGAGGAAGCCGCAGGCACAAAACTTTATGAAGCGAAGAGGATTCTCACCATTAACACAATTAACAAGAAGCAGACAAAAGTCGATGAGATTGAGAAGGTATGCAAAGTTTCTGTCGCATGCTGCTTCTCATACGAAAACATTTTAGCTGATTGCCGAGGATATTCTTCCTCAGTTGCACCAATTACAAAAGGACAAGCAGAACTTTCTCGAATACAATAACTGTGATCGTGAAATAGAGCGTCAAGAACGAAAGCTTACTGCCTTTACCTACCATGCATCTTTGGTACGTTATTAGTCTTTACAATTTTTTTGACATCGTTAATTTACCATTTACCTATTTAATTGCTACTTTATCTGCACCTTTTTCGAACTAATTATCTGGACGCCTATAAATTGACGGATATTGAATGAATAGAAAGTTCTATACACACAATTAGCTAGTTGCCGTTTGTCTTACATGTTAAACATGCAGATATATTATCTTATGCGTAGCAGAAATTGGCGAATCTTCGTTCAAGTTTATCGAAATACTCCATAGGATTTTCTTACAAATTATTACGATAAACTCTTAATTCTCCGTTATCTGGAAAATGGTCCGAATAGCGGAAAGTGTTGTTTTTTATGTCAATTGCTCAAAGTTGCCATTTAAAATGAGAGGAAAACTACGAAAAAACAAATTAGCCAGTCAAACAGTTTATTCAAGTTCAGTAAAGAAGTTCCATGAAATCGATTTATTTCACCGCACTAGGCATTTCCGTGATGTATAAACCACTGTTCCTTTTAATCCTAATTTTAAACCGGGGGCGTCAAAGGCTAGGCTAGTTTAGCTG